GACCGGTCCTATGTGTTGAATAGTAGGAGTAGGGCCTAGGCTTAGTAGCCTAGGCCAAAGGGAGTCGAGAGAGTTTAGCAAGAAGAAGTGAGGGTTTCACTATAGCAAACAAGGAACATATAGGCAAGAGAACAAGAACAAGAGGTGCACCACCAAAAGTTAATAATAACTACACTAAACTAGAGCTACAGGCAGTTACACAAATATATTCTGACACTATGTGAAGTGGCGTCCCATCTACCATACGCGCGTCCTTGAAGTTGACTGCCGAATTTGCTTCGAGATGGAGAAGACTAACTAATGAAGAAGAGACGAACGAGTGGCTAGCTCCGCTGTCTACGAGAATTTTGACTGGAACGTCGCAAAGCTTCCCTAGAAGTACGACTGGACAATCAACAGCGTCTACCGAATTCTACATAGATGACTGCTCCAGAGCTGTCTCCTCTACGTCGGTTGACTTGGCGGGTTCGGAAGCGTCCACACCAGCTAGCGACCCATTATCTATTGGCGGTCTCCGTTTCACTGCTGCCGCTCCTTAAGCTGTGGGCAGTCCTGCTTCACGTTTCCCGGCTTTTTGCAGTAGTGACAGTTCCCCCCTAAAACCCGTTTTCTGTGAGCCGTCACTGTTAACTCCACCAATCTCCATGGGTGACGGTCTGTCCCTCGATCGAGCGTCGTTGATCGGTCTGTTGTATCCCCTATCGCGATCGTCACGACCCCGTCGGCTTCGTACTGCGTCGACGCATTCTGCGGCTGCGACAACTGACTCGAAGGTGGACAACCCGTAAATCGCTATAACTTCCGCTATGTCCGTCTTCAACCCTTCGAGGTAGCGATCGCGCATCTCTACTTCCGTGATGTTGTCTATTTTGTTGCAGATGCTCAAGAACCGCCGTGTGTACTCCTGGGCGTTTCCTATCTGTAGGAAATGACGCAGACGCTTCCTAGCAGCTTCGGAGGCGTTCACCAAGTCGAACCTACTTTTCAGCGCCGCTTCAAATCCTTCCCATGTGGTCGGAACCGTGGTAACACCCAAAGCTAAACTCCCTAAGCTTGAAGTTGCAGCTGCATGCCCCACGCCCTGTTGATGCCCGTCTGTCTGAGCCCTTCTTACAGCAGTTTGCGTGAGTTGGCGCCACCACTCCAAGGCCGGGCCCCTCAGCAGCGTAACGGAGTACTCGATCCGCTGCTGCGCGTCCGCCTCTTGCACCCCGCTCGCAGCGAAGAAGTTGTTCAGGATGAAGAGTCACGTCCGCACGTTCGCGTCGCGCTGACTTGGGTCGAACGACTCGGGTTTCTGCGGCTTGAGTGCGCTTCGATGTTCCGGCAGCGCTTCCGCGCCAGTCGACGTGTTGGGTGCAGGAGATGGTGCGGCATGACCATGAGAACTTGACGCGAATTCACGAAGCTGCTGCATTTCAGCCCGTACCTGACGATTTTCCAATGTCAACTGTTCGACTTGGCGCATCAGTCGAGCAAGCGTGTTGCCCATGTCGTTGGGGAGAGCGTTCATGGTCTCGTCCATGTTGGCTCGACAACTCCAAGTCTGCAAGTCGGCACCGCAGGACGATGACGTCGTAGTCTCGTCATCGACGGTCGCTCGTTGGAAGTCGCTCCCCGCGAAGGCTCCTGATACCAAGTGTTAGGCGCGCTGGTCTAAATCCGCTAAAGATTAGCGGGCTCGACTAAGTCGAGGATAAACGCGGCGGAAGATTTTGGCGAAAGAGAGTGTTGGCGAAATAGGTAAAGAAGTAACTGAGTGATTAAAGAGTTGAATGAGAATTGATTGATTATGGCAAGTACAAGCAAGGTTGATATAGCATGCAAGACCGAATCTCAGAAAGTACTTCGTGGGACTAGGAAGTCTAGGAAGATAAGGATAAGGGTGAGTTGGAAAGTATTGTACGGAATGAACAGTAAATCCCCCCTTAACACTTGCACAAGTCTCTTACGCCAATCTACATCATGCGTTCCCTCAAAGCCCATCCCAGCTCCCCGCGCAGCAGTCGCCCTTGCACATTGTGCGGCGCGATGAGCGATAATCGCAAGCGACTGGATGAGAGAAGGGAGGCTGCTCTCCCCCCATCAAACCCTCAGGACGCGTTGAAAGTGCAAATATCGCAGGATCGTCTGCATATATCGATCCCCACAATCGAGTGGGCAGATTGTTTGGCGAAACGTGGCGACCGCGACCTTGTAACGATCGCGGCTGAAAATTGACAGATTTCCCGCGAACAGTGATCAGTCGCATTCTCACACTGTACAGAAATTTTGGCCAGAAAGCGTACTGTAGCATGGTTACAGCGTAGTTAATAGGGTAACCAATCTGCACATCGCTCGCGACTGACGATCGATCGTCTACTTTCACCGCGTCCTCACTCTTCCTTTCGTCAAGCCCCACACAGCCCTCGAAAATCAGTTAGCTGGCGAGCCCCCTATTCGAGATGAGCTCCCGAACCATTATTGCGGCGCTGTTGTCCATCATTCTGACTCACAGTGAGTCAGACTATGCGCAGTACGCGGCGGTTGTAGCCTGCGTGTAGCACTAGCGGGCGACCACCTTTTCCGTGCTGCGCATTTGCGCGGCGGGCGCCATGCTCTTCGTTGGCGATTAGCCAGCCCGTCATCTGCTGCTCACCTTGATGGCGATCAGCCAGGCATTATTGCGGCCGCGCTGCCGCCCTCTAACTCCGAGCCGGAGTTTCGCGCACCACACGGTACTAGCTTCACTGCCAGCGTGCTTACCGATAGCTCTCTCCGCATGCTGCGCGTTGTGCGCGGCGGCGCCATGCGAGCAATAACGGCGAGGTGCTGCCAGGGAGGAGTACCGTCATGGTGGCCTGCCATCGCAGCTCCCTCCACCACCCTCGCCTCCTCCTCGTTCCTTCAAATCGCCTCCGTTCCGCCACTCACCACCATCTGAGTTGCTTCTCTCAGTGCTCAACAAACAACCGAATCTGATCCTCACCATCGCTCGCACTGCTAATCTCTCTAAAACCCCCGCGCAACCGTCACCATGGCTACCCTTCGCTCCGTGTTCGTCCTCGCCTTGATCCTCGTCTCCCTCCCCGCGCTCTACGCCGCGTCCGCGCCACTGCGGGGCGACGATGCTGCTGCCAGTGGAAGCGCGGCCGTGGACGCGACGGCGAGGTGGGGCCGCACGCTGCTGGAAGCGAGCAGCGGCTCCGCCGCAAGCGGCGCAGACGTGGACCACGTGGGTGGCGCAGAGGAGGAGGTGGCCGCGGACGGGCTGGACGAGGCGGTGCGGGTGCTGCTGAGCCCGGATTCGTGGAAGAGCGTCGTGGATGGTATGCGGAGGGAGACGAAGTGGAGGGCGGCGGCCGCGGCGAAGGCGGGAGGCAAGGCGAAGAAGGGCGGCGTGGATGGTGTCAAGGGTGCGGCGAGCGCGCACAGCAGCGGCAAGGGCAGGAAGGGCGCAGCGGCGAACATCAACTGGAAGAAGATCCAGGAGGAGGCGAGGAACGCTGTGGTGAGCAAGGCGGGAGGGCTGGCGCAGAAGGGCGACGTCGCTGCTGGGGGAAGCGCAGGCGTGGGCGCGGCGAGGCGGGGCCGCAAGCTGCTGGAAGCGAGCAGCGGCGCAGCTGCAAGCGGTGCTGACGCGGACCTGAACCAGCTGGACGTGCACGTGCGTGGCGAGGAGGAGGAGGACGGGCTGGACGAGGCAGTGCGGGTGCTGCTGAGCTGGAAGAAGATCAAGAACGGGATCAAGAATGTGGCGGGCAAGGCGGGAGGGGTGGCGAAGAAGGTGGTGCAGAAGGGCGGCGTGGACGCGCTCAAGGCGGCGGCCAAGGGGTTCAGCAACGGCGGCATGAAGGGCGCGCTCAAGGCCGGCGGTACCTCGCTCGCTCGCACCGCGAAAACCATGGCGTAGAGGGAGAGGGGCGGTGCGCGAGGAGGTAGTGGGAGATGGGCATAGTGGGAGATGGGCGTAGCGGGAGCGAGGAGGTGCGGAGGGCAAGGCGGTGTGGTAGAGTGTAGCAGGTGGGGCAGCAGCAGCCCAGCTGCTGTGGTGCTGCTCATGGTCGTGAAGGTGGTGGTGCTATTGCGGCTGCTGCTACTGGATGCGGATTGCAACTTGCGTTTGCAACTTGGGGAAACAGTAGGCTAGGCATGTGTGAGGGGGGAATGTGTGTTTGGGGGAAGGGGGTGTGTGAGGGTTGGGTTGGGTAGGCAGGGCATATGTGTGTGCAGTTGAAAATGTACGGTAATGAGCATGGCTTTCAATGTGGGTCGCAGAACCCAAGAGTATTTCCTTTGCAGCACTGGAACAGTAAAGAAATCTATGGCACAGTCAGGTCAGGGCAAAGGCAGTGAGGAGCAGCAGTGGTAGTACCCCTGGTCATCGAATCTGAATCTCTGCGACAGATGTACCTCCCCCAGACGCACCTCCCCCCACTCCGTGTCCCCATGCTGTGCCACGACGAGGGAGGCATCGAAAGGCATCCGGGCATGGCGATGGGGGCTGGGGGAGGAGCAGAGACAGACAGACAATGGGGGATGGGAGAGTGGGTGGAACGAGACAGACAGGCGAACAAGGAGAGTGGGTGGAACGAGACAGACAGGCGAACAAGGACCGCAGCAGGTTGGGAAACTCTGGTTTCAAGTGATGTTCGTGGTGAGGAAGGCAGACAAGACGAAAAGAGAACTCATCCAGGAAGGTAATGGGAGGATGGAAGATGTTTGCGTGGATTGGATACGATCAGCGATTGGCTGCTGTGCTGCATGCACAACACACGCTTGCGCAGCTGGTGCGCACACACACACCAACCTCTCACCTACCTGTTTTACAAACCCAGATACCCTCCCACACATAATCAATCTCCCACTCCTAATCCCTCCCGCACCCATCCAATCTCCCCACAACCACCCTTTCACGAAGGTGGCGTGCACCTGGTGCGAACACACCAGCCTCTCACCTCACCTCCTGCTCCCCTGCACCCTCATCTCCTCGCACATCCACCCACCCCCTCCACACCCACCCTTTCCGGTGGCTCGTGTTCATGATGGTGGCGTGCAGCTGGTGGTGGTGGGGGGGGAGGGGATGGGGGTGGTGTGGTGGAGCAAAAGAAGCGGCGGAATGAGGAAGTTTCGGAAGGGGAAGAGAAGGTCGGGTGGGGGAGGGGGAGAAGGACGGACGGGAAGAGAGAGGAGAGGGGGGGTGGGAGGGGATGTGGTATGGCAAGGAGAAAGAGAGTAGACTGTAAGAGAGACAGATAAAAACAGGAGTTCTTCACTCTAATGAGGTGACTTGCTTCTGACATACTGAACTTTAAAGTGAACACTCTCAAATAAGGTGGATTAGATTTCAAGTCGTCTCAAGTGTCACCTGCTTTCTGAAATGACCCCAAATGTATGACGTCAAACACCCTTCCCCGCCGGCAAGAGCAAGGACGCTGCTACGCCCCCGCATGCTCATCCAGTGGTAATCCACAGCCCACCTTAAGCGGCTGATGGCAGTCCCTAGGTGTGACTAGCCCTGCCTCCCTGCACGCTGCCCTCAGAACCTCTGGAATGGATGGAGTTGGGAGAGGGAAGAAAGGTGTGGAAAAGATGGATGGAAGCAGGGACTGGCCCTGCCTCTCTGCCCTGCCTCACTGCCCTGCCTCACTGCCCTGCCTCACTGCCCTGCCTCACTGCCCTGCCTCACTGCCCTGCCTCACTGCCCTGCCTCACTGCCCTGCCTCACTGCTCTGCCTCACTGCCCTGCCTCACTGCCCTGCCTCTCTGCCCTGCCTCACTGCCCTGCCTCACTGCCCTGCCTCACTGCCCTGCCTCACTGCCCTGCCTCACTGCCCTGCCTCACTGCCCTGCCTCACTGCCCTGCCTCTCTGCCCTGCCTCACTGCCCTGCCTCTCTGCCCTGCCTCTCTGCCTCACTACCTGCCTCCTAGCATCGGGACGCAAAGCGTAGATGAGAATGAAAGAATGCTTCCTCGCCTCCTTGCTCATGCCGAGATGCAGGCAGACCTAGTGCAGCGTGGAATGCGTGGCATGCGTGGCGTGGCGTGGCGTGGCATGTCCTGCCAAGAGCACTCACCGCAGACGGCACGGAGGCGGTTGCCCCCATCCACCTCCTGCATGTCAGCATACAGCACATGCGCCTTGGAGGGATGCCCCCGCATGCACTTCTGCACCCAGGGAAGATGAATGGTTGAGGGGTGAGGGGTGAGGGGTGATGGATGAGGGGTGAGGGAGGGGTGAGGGAGGGGTGAGGGGTGAGGGATGAGGGATGAGAGGTGAGGGGTGAGGGTTGACAGGTGGGGAGTGAGGGTTCAGGAGTAAGAGGTCAGGGCTAAGGGATGGGGGTAAGGGGTCGGGACGGGGGAACGGGTTGGAGTTAAGGGGCCGGGGGTAAGGGGCCGGGGGTAAGGGGCTGCATGTAAGGGGCCGCGGGTAAGGAGTTGGAGGTGAGGTCAAAGTTGCATGGCCTGGCTTGAAACGCCCATGTGCCTTGGAATGCCCCATGTGCCTTGGAACGCCCCATGTGCCTTGGAACGCCCCATGTGCCTTGGAACGCCCCATTGGCCATGCAGGCCTCATTTTCCATGCAGGCCCCATTTGCCATGCAGGCCCCATTTGCCATGCAGGCCCCATTTGCCATGCAGGCACATGGATCCCATCCTGGCATGTGGGATCATGAGATGAGACTAACTGCCGGGCGAATGACGAGCCTTGTTGCGCCAGGAAAGATTGTGGCAGCACGAAATGAAATGAGAGGTGTGACTCACGAGGCCAAGGAGGCGAATGACAAGAGGCGCGTCGCCCAACACTTCTTGCACTCTCGGCATGGCCGCCTGTGAATGGACAGGGGGGGCAGGGGCGACATGGGCAACAGGGAGGACAGGGAGGACAGGGAGGACAGGGGGGACGGGAGGGGAGAGGGGGGACAGGAAGGATAACAAGGGAGTGTGGCACGGAGAGAAGTTGCAAAGAGGGCGCACCACACATACAACACATTCCATAACCACTCATACAGGAATGAGGGACACGTAACCCACCATGGGGCACTAAGCAAGGAAATATGTGCCAAATGAAATAACTTAAACCAGATGATGCGCATTACCATGACATGTATAGCAGCTGGTCAATGGTTACAGATGACTCACTCATCCCCCCTCACCGATTGGGCTCAGACGATCTGTCACAAGTGACATAAATGAATGAGTTCAAGGAGCCTCGATCATTCCCACAGCGCACCTGCAGGGCGTCAGCGGCTGCTTGCACGCGGAGGGGCGACCAGAGCTTGAGCATTTGCACGGTGAGGTGGAAGGTGGCTGGGTTGATGAAGATGGACGGGTGCACGCCCCCTGGTGAGCCGTGGGTTGGGGTGGGGGAGGGGGGATGGGATGGTGGGGCGCGGAGGGATGGTCAGCTGCTACCAGTGCAAAGAGAAACCCTACATATAAGCTGCAACTATAATTCACTGACTGAGAGGCACATACAGGGATGTGCATCATTCGCTCACTCTCTCAACCACTCACTCACCATACTTGTCCTTCACTCCCTTCCCTCTCTGACCACCTGGCTGCTGCTCCCAAGACTTTTCCTCTCCGCTCTCCCTTTCTTGCCCTGCAACTGCCGCCCTCTCTTCTTCACCACCCTTCCCCCTTGCAGCACACACACAAGACTCGCCGCCAGCAGTTGTAGCAGCGGAGGCATCGCCAACTGCAGCACCCACTGCTGCAGTAACAGGATCGGCAGCAGCAGCAGCAGCATCGTCACCATCGCGCACTCTCTTCCCTCCTCTTCTCACACTTCCTCCTGTTCCCTCCTCTCCCGCACTCGCATCTGCTCTCCCTTCCCCTTCCACCGCTTCCTCCCCACAGTCTTCTATCCCTTCCCTCGCCCCGACTGCTGCTGCACAATCATCCTTCACACCTTCTCCCTCCACATCGCCTTCTCCCTCTCCCTCCCTTATTGTAGCCCAACCATCAGCATCACCAGAAGCATTGTCACCACCATCAGCAGTAGCAGCATCACCAGCAGCACCATCAACACCAGCAGTGCTACCAGCAGCAGCGTCAGCTGGCGCTGTGAGGTGCTCGTGGGTGCAGGGGAAGCCCACCGACTGCAGCAAGGAGGAGCGCAAGTCACTGAGGCGAGCCACCAGCGGGCGGTGCGAGGCGAGGGGGAGGGAGAGGAAGTGCGAGTAGCCCACTGCAGGGCTGTCGATGGCCTGCCGAGGGGACAGGGGACACGGGCAGGGGGGCGATGTGAGAGGCGTTGAGAGAGTTGCTTGTCTGTAGGGAGGGAGATGAAGTGCGAGTAGCCCACTGCAGGGCTGTCAATGGCCTGCTGGGGAGTGGGAGAAGGGGGGGGGGGGGGATGAAGACATGGGTGGGAGCAGCGGCGAGAGAGGGCTTGCATTGAGGGAGAGGAAGGGCGAGTAGCGCACTGCAGTGCTGTCGATGGCCTGTCGTGGGTGGGGTCGGAGGTGGGGAAGAGTCGGGTGAGAGAGGCGGTGACAGAGGGGACCTGTGAAAGGACCTATGTGTTGATGTACCTACATGTTTGATCAATACAAGTACTGTTTGACAGAGGAAGCTTTAAGTTGACACAGAGATCAGCTTGCGACTGCAGGGCTGTCATTAGAATAGACTGCCGGGGGGCATACGACATGGGTGAGAGAGGCGGTGAGAGAGGCAGTGAGAGAGGCGGTGAGAGAGGCGGTGAGAGAGGCGGTGAGAGAGGCGGTGAGAGAAGCGGTGAGAGAGGCGGTGAGAGAGGCGGTGAGAGAAACGGTGGGTTCTCGATGGCGGCACATTTCAGATATGCGATGCTCGGCTATCACCAAAATCTGCACTATCGCCTGAATTTATCAAAGCAATAGCTGGGTCTCACACCTTGCATCCCCTAAACCACCTCGCATTCCAATTTGAACCAACCTGACCTATCACCTGAGCTCACCTGGCCTATCACCTGGCCTATCACCTGGCCTATCGCCTGCGCTCACCTGTGCGAGCTCAGAAGCAAGAAGGTCCAGTGCTGCTGTTACTGCTTCCTCACTTGCACCTGATATCTCTGAGGCACAAGGAGCAGGGGGGAAAGAGTGGGGAGGAAAAGAGAGGAAACGAGGCTAGAAACAGGGGCATGCAATGGTATGGTGCCACTGACTGGACGAGTGGACGAGTGGCAGGCAGCCCACAGCATTGGGCCACTCAGAATGCAGTAGGCAACTCTACATTGTAGTCTGGACTCTAGAGCCCCTAAGTTGCCCCTGGATCTTGAGGAGCCTGATGAATCAGCCTGTCTGTACCACTCCCTGAATGAAATGATACTCCAGTTGGCGCCCCTATATTGCCGTCAGCATAAACCCTAAACCGCTGTACGTATGAACCAAAGCATGGAAAGGCACGGCACGGCAGGCATGGGCATCTCATGACATGGCAGTACCAAAGACAGCATGAGGTTGAGTCCTCTTGTTGAAGTGTGTGGGTGCCTTCACCACACATGATGTCGCCTGGGCTATGCTGCTCAGACTGCTGCACGGTGTAAGGCAAACAAGAGGCACATGAGACACACGGTGGGAGGATGGAAAGAGTGCATGGAGTACATGATGGGGGCAGTGAATCGAGGGAGGGAATGGATCGGGAGTGCGTCCAAGAATCGCTTCACTTCTCCTTCACTGCAACAGGTGTTGCAAGGGCAGGTGATGGCAGCAGCGTGGCAAGGGCAGGTGATGGCAGCAGCGTGGCAAGGGCAGGTGATGGCAGCAGCGTGGCAAGGGCAGGTGATGGCAGCAGCGTGGCAAGGGCAGGTGATGGCAGCAGCGTGGCAAGGGCAGGTGATGGCAGCAGCGTGGCAAGGGCAGGTGATGGCAGCAGCGTGGCAAGGGCAATGCGGCAGTAGAGAACAGCCAAGGGAAGGGGGATGGCGTGGCAGGGGTGAGGGCTAGAATGAGGTGCCTGGGAGGGATGTACAAAAGAACGCAATGCATGGTGGATGTCACGCGAGACACACACACAATAACGAGAAGGATGGAGAGCAGGAGAGGATTGCAGATACACGGTTGAAAGAGGTTGTTGGACGGAGCATGGGCGTGTTGGAGAGATGGTCAATGAGAAGCGTGTATCTTACTCGTTGCGTGAAAATAAACCAACCAATGCTCCGTCAACCTGGGGCATGGCATGGGCATGGCATGGCATGGCATGTCATAGCATGGCACGGCATGGAACGGCATGGCACGGCATGGCACGGCATGGCACGGCATGGAACGGCATGGCACGGCATGGCACGGCATGGTACGGCATGGGCATGGCAGATGGTAAGAAGACAAGGGAGAATGTAAAAAGGGGCGTTACGCAACGGTGGCTAAAACTGCTGGTAAACCGCATCCAACCACCCCTTGCAATTTCACATCCTCACAGCGTCCGCACCTTCACTTGCATAACAGTCGTCCCGTCGCTCTTCACTTCCTTTACAATCACACTCGGTGTGCCATACAGCCGCTCCACCTCCCCTGCTGTCATCCGCACAGCCCCCCCTGAACCCCCTCCCCCTCCCCTTCCTCTTCCTCCCCTTCCCCTTCTTCCCTCTCCCCCCCGTTTCCCCCTTCCGTATACTCCTTCTTCCCCCCTTCCTCCGCCCCCTTCCCCTCGCTCCCCTCCCTCCCATGCCTCGAATATTTCCCCCTCTCCCTTTCCCCCGCCCCCATCCCCATTCCTCCGCCAGGTGTTCCACTTTCCGCCCCTCCCACTTCCACCCCACCTCCCCCTCCCATTCCCCCTCCCGCTCCCGTTCCCCCTCCCCCGCCAGACACCAGATCCCGCGCCAGTTGGCTCAGAGATTCCCGTTCCGCCATCCTCTTTGCCGGGCCTCCGCTCTCTCCGCGCATCCCCCCCACCCCCGCCGCTAGATCCCGCCATCGGCGAGTCCCTCGGTGGCGGAGCAGCAGCCATAGCAAGGCGCTTTTCGCACGGAGTGGTGATTGTTCTTGTGCGAAAGGTGACGAGCTTCTGGCGAAACGTATATTCACGACGAAAACAAAAAGTGACTGACGGGCTGTGTTCACGAGCGCGCAGCTTTAGCGCGGTCGTCAATCGAGCTGCGCCGATCGAATATACGGAACTATTGCCTATTTCGCGTGTAACCGTGTCGTCGAAGATTGGTCTAAAGGTTAATCGTTTTCGACGATCTCGAGTCGCCACGCGCGAAAGTAAGGAAATTTCCAATGGATATGCGACCGTCGCGAAAGGAGCATGGCGGTGCGACACTATGCGACGAAGCGATGACGTGGCGGTCGCCAGTCTACCGTCGCAGACAGGAATGATTCGGAATCCTGTTACTTTTGTCGACGATAAAGAGTCCCACTGCTTGGTCGGAGCGCGAACAAAATATGTGTACAGTCCGTGGGGCATCAAAGTATTCTGCTAGGCTCGCTTCCCCATGTTTCAGAATTCGAGTTCGACATGCATCACACGAAGCTGGAAATTGACGTGCTACAGTTCAGTTTGGTCTACAAAGGTGGAAAGAACAAAACGTTCCTCACCGTGTATTAACGCATTGAACCGCGCAGACGAGCCCTAAACAGCCATCGAATATTCAATTCAAATGTAAAATTTCAGTTTCCCACTTTTGAGCTCACATCACACGTCACACTTGCCTGAGCGCTGGTCTAAGAGATGGTCAATCGAATTTCGTTGAGTACGGTTAAGTGAGCTTCATGACGTTCTCGCGCGGTTTTCCTGATCCATGAACGGTTCATTACGGTCCTTCGAGATTGGACCTCTTCGTTCTGGAGACTAAAAATACCTGACCAGACTAAAACCTGAGTTCGGGTCTTCTCAACCAGCTAACTGGCTAACCTAGCCGGTCGCCAAGGGGGTCAGCGAAGTGAATTCGATCACCGCGCTAGTTAGCCCGCGGGCTATCGGCGTAGCAGTAGTGACTGTAGTATGACCATGCCGCCTGGCCGGCCTATAGTTTCCGCGTGCTGACTGTTTGAGGCGACAGAATGAAATCGCCATCACCAGTGCCCGCACCCATATCCGCATTTTAACCGCCTGAAGGGACTGATTTCTTGTCCGCCATGCCGGGTGGGCGCGCCGTCCGCGTGCTGAACGTGGCGGAGAAGCCGTCCGTCGCGCGCGCCGTGGCGGAGATCCTCGCGCGGTACGGCGGCGGCGGAGTGAGGTCGCGCGAGGGGCGGTCCGTGTACAACCGCATCTTCGAATTCACGTGAGCGACGAGCGGCGATGCAGGATGCGACGCCATGCGAAGCGGCGTGTGCTTCGCCATGGCGACGTTAGGTTGACGCTCGTTGGGTCTAAGTTCCGGGCGCGTATGGCGGCTGAGCCCATCCCTCCCTCCCCCTTGGCTACTGGAGATTGAAAAGTCGCGTGGAAATGCACCTGCATCCCCCATCATCCCCATTCCCATCCCCATCCCCATCCCCATCCCCATCCCCGTCCCCGTCCCCGTCCCCGTCCCCGTCCCCGTCCCCATCCTCGTCCCCGTCCCCGTCCCCGTCCCCGTCCCCGTCCCCGTCTCCGTCCCCGTCCCCGTCCCCGTCCCCGTCCTCGTCCCCATCCCCGTCCCCATCCCCATCCCAATACCCGCATCCTCATGCCATGTGGCTATCATGTGAGCAACTTGGCCATCCGCGTTATCAGCCGCTAGCAGCCACTAGATGAGCAACTCGTTCAACCATGCAGGACTTCGCCAAAGCCGGTTCTTGAGATCCTCATGAGCCGCCTGAAATTGCCTTTCTTCATTCAACAGCTACTTTATGATCAAACCAGCCATGTGCCATGGCGGCAATGACTGACTAGTAATGCTGAACTGAAACGTCATTCTGCCCCGTCATCAGCTACACAATGAACAACCAGCCGTGTGACATGGCGATGACGTCAGTGACGGGGCATTTGATGGAGATGGACTTTCAGGACCCCTTCAGGAAGTGGCACGCCTGCGACCCCCTGCAGCTCTTTGACGCCCCTGTATACAAGGCCATTCCGCAGGTGGGAGGGTCTGCTTGGCTGTTTGTTAAATCCAGGCATGGGTGGTATAGGGATTGGATAACGGAATCCTCTTTGTGGAAATGGCAACCCCTGCAGCTCTTTGACGCGTCCATGCACAAGGCCATACCGCTGGTGGGATGGGAGGGTCTGGCTGGCTGTGTATTAACCCCCGGGACGGATCGTAAGGAATGTCGTTCAGGAAGTGCCACACCTGCTACCCCCTGCAGCTGCCTGTCTATAAGTCCACACCGCAGGTGGGAGGGTACAAGGACGTACCACACTCGTGGGGGAGGTGTAACGCTGTATAACCCCAGGTGGGAGGGTACAAGGCCATACCACTCCAGGTGGGAGGATACACACGGCCGTATGTAATCCAGATGTGGTTTCATTGTGATCTAGATGCGGTTTCATTGTACGTTGAACCTTTAGATCTTCTTCCATATGCAGAGCTACATCGAAAGCGACACACGGGTGTTAATGCTGCTCACCGTTTCGTCCGACGTCTCAAACACTGGAGAAGCGTTCAGAGCACCAGAATTTGGTGCAAATGTCAACACGTGCGAGCTTGGTCCTGCCAGGCGAGATGTTCGGCAGAAAGGACCAGCAGTGTCGATAGTTCGTTCAGCCGAACATCTCGCCTGGCAGGACCAAGCTCGCACATGTTGACATTTGCACCAAATTCTAGTGCTCAGAACGCTTCTCTAGCGTTTGAGACGTCAGGCGAAACGGTGAGCAGCATTAACACCCGTGCGTCACCTTCAATGTAGCTCTGCACATGGACGAATATCAAACGGTTTTACGTACAATGAAACCACATCTAGAATATGTGCGGCACTTCTGTGCGAGCATTTGCTTCTGTACGTGCATGTGCTTTCAATGCATTCACGTGCTGCTAACGGAACTGTTTTTTGGTTTAACCGGAGCAACAAGCACCAAGCGTCAAGCCTTCAGGCCCCATTCCTATAGCAGCTTCTCCTCCATTCACCAACCACCCCTTCCTTACCCATATTCTCATTCCTGTGTGTCCTCTCCACATCTTCGCATCGCTTCCCTTCACTGCTCTGCAGGACAAGGTGGCACTGGAGGTGTTGCCTTGTCTTCCAAGTTTCCATCATCACCTGCCATCCCCCTCCACCACCCCGTTCCCCCATTCATCTGTAGGACAAGGCGGCACTGGAGGTGTTGCCTTGTCTTCCAAGTTTCCATCGTCACCTGCCATCCCCCTCCACCACCCCGTTCCCCCATTCATCTGTAGGACAAGGCGGCACTGGAGGTGACGTTGAGGGAGGAGGCGAGGCGCAGCGAGCAACTGGTGTTGTGGCTGGACTGTGACCGGGAGGGCGAGAACATCGCCTATGAGGTCATGCAGGTGTGCGGTGTGCCGTGCCTTCCCTTCCCTTCCCTTCCCTTCCCTTCCCTTCCCTTCCCTTCCCTTCCCTTCCCTTCCCTTCCCTTCCCTTCCCTTCCCTTCCCTTCCCTTCCCTTCCCTTCCCCATTCTTATCTTGGAAATACGGCAGCACGACTGGCCATATCACAACGTCCTACATTTTGCATAGCTTGTTGTCTCTGGCTCTCAGCCTCTCAAAATCCTCACTTTTCTAGCATGTGATGTTTTGTGAGAAGTCGAGAGAATGGCCTTATCCTAATGCCTTGCACGAGTGCAGGTGTGCCTGGCTGCTAATTCGCGCCTGGCTGTCTTCCGAGCCCACTTCTCAGCCCTTGTTGACAGGTGCCCTTCTCACTCATGCTCCTTCCCTCACAATTTATCTGCAAAGGCTTGTATGCTTCTTTCTTTTGATGAATAGTTATGGGGACCACAACTTTGTGCTTGCCGCTTCGATTAAATGAAGCTACATACACGCACAGCTGTTCGCATGTCAAGTCAATGGATCGTTGCCCTTCCCAAGCCAAGACTGTGGGCACGTTCCTGAGAAGACCCTTGCTCATTCTTGGTTTGTGACGCGCCGCCTACTACCCTTAATGATTATGATTTAAAGCCACCCTCCTTTGCCACGTGGCACCCTGTTGTCCAATCAGAGACATCCATCATGCGGCTCAGAACTTAGGCCGCCCGAACTCCAACTTCGCAGACGCTGTTGACGCTCGGCAGGTAGTGGATGGGCGGGTAGTTGATGGGCGGCAGGTGGTTGATGGGCGGCAGGTGGTTGATGGGCGGCAGGCGGTTGATGGGCGGCAGGTGGTTGATAGGCGGCAGGTGGTTGATGGGCGGCAGGTGGTTGATGGGCGGCAGGTGGTTGATGGGCGGCAGGTGGTTGATGGGGGGCATGCGTTGACCACTCACACACAGCCAACCGGGCACTCACTTACACACTCACTCACCTCACCCACACACTCATGCATGCACTCGCCCACACACAGACACACACATCTACAGACTTACCCACATACCTACAGACCCACTCGCACC